TCCGGGTGCTGGAGGGGGGAGGGTTGTACCCGGGAGGGGCTCTGGGTGTGCGGGGGGGGGGCGGGGTTGTACCCGGGAGGGGTTCCAGGTGTCGGGGGGGGGGAAGCTTGTACCCAGGAGGGGGAGGGGTTACGGGTGCCGTGGGGTTGTACCTGGTAAAGGAGGGTTCACAGGGGCCAGGGGGGCAGACTGGGGTCTGGGAGATTAGACCAGGAGGGGGAAGCCTGAGGGGGGTTATCTGCTGAGTATTTTTATAAATACACCTTGTAAAATCTTCTCTCATTTACTGACATACTACTGTGAGGTGTGTATTGCGGGGCTATAATCTGTAATGTTTCTCATGATCCCCACTGGAAGGGCTGTGAGTAGATATTGTGCTTTCGTTGGTATGTTTTTAGGACTGACTTTGTCTAGCTGCTAAATATCATTGTATTGCTATAGCTTTCCCTCCTCTCGCCTTGGCTAGTGCAGTGAATTGCTGCTCTGAGCTCAGGGACTGGGGTCAGAAGGCTGCATGTCTGGATGCTTAGGCACCTATGTATTGTTATTTATTAAGCACTAACTGTTCTCTTTACTGTGTAAGGCAGAGATATCAAAACAGCCCTGCCTCAGGGAGTGTGCAGACCAGAAGTACAACATCAGGCTATGTTAACTTGCCATGGTTTTAATAAAATATGCTGGATGGAAACATCTGTGTATTTATGTAATACAAGTTCAATGTGCTTGCCCTATCCTAGATTCCTGGTGGAGAGGCCTGACATAACAGAAGGACCAGCAGACAAGATGGCAGAGATGCAGATAGATCCAGACCTGGCCAAGAGACTCTTTTTTGAGGGTGCTACAGTTGTCATTTTGAACATGCCTGAGGGGACAGAGTTTGGCATTGATTACAACACTTGGCATGTGGGCCCCAGATTCCGGGGAGTCAAGATGATCCCTCCAGGCATCCATTTCTTTCACTATAGCTCTGTCAACAGGTGTAATACCAAAGAGACAGGTCCCCGTACTGGCTTCTTCTTAAGCCTGCAGCAGCGAGACTTGCAGATTCTGCACTGGAACTCATTGAATGAGGAAGTGGACCTCACCCCAGCATCTGAAGAAGAGATTGAAATAATGAGGTCAAACCTCCAGGAGATGGACAAGTTTCTTGGGCCATACCCATATGAGACCCTCAAGAAATGGATCTCCCTCACTAACTTCATCAGTGAACCAGTGATGAAGAAGCTGCAGCCAGAGAGTGGACAGATCTGTGCCTTTTCAGAGGTTCTGCCGGTTCTGGCTGGGAAGCACACCAAAGACAGAGCTGAACAGAACCTGCCCCGATATGACACAGAATGTAAGAGCTACGCAGAAGGCCTGGCCCGACTGCCCAAAATGAAGCTGAAAGCTGGCACTGAGATCCGGTTCACAGAGATGCCGAAGCAGATGTACCCTGATGGTGCTACTCCTGAGGAAATAACCAGGCACAGCATG